GATAGTACACAGGCCTGGCACCAAAAACCAACAAAGAAAACAAATGACAACAACAACAAAAAAAAAAACCCCTAGGAACAGGATGAAATAATCTGAATAAAGGATATGGGTTGACAAGCCTATATCAATGTTATACCAAACAAGGGAAAACTGAAATCATTTCCTCTAAAGTCTGGAGTGAAACAAGAATGTCACTCTCCCTACTCTCATTCAATATAGAATTCTTTGCCAAAGCAATAAGTCAAGAAAAAGAAATAAGGATTCAAACAAAAAGGGAAAACGTCAAATTATCCCTATTCACTAAGATCCAAAAGATTCTACTGAACTATTCCTGGATCAACTTGATAATCCTGAATAACTATGACAGGATAGAAGATCAACACTCAAAAATCAGTAGTTGTTTTTCTTTCTTTTTGTGCTAATCCTGGGGTTTGAACTCAGGGCGTGGGCACTAGCACTGAGGTATTTTTGCTCAAGGCTAGAACTCTACCACATGAGTCCACAATTCTACTTCTAGCCCTTTTGGTAGATAAATGGAGATTGATAGTCTCACTTTCCTGCAAGGGCTAGCTTTGAAATCCTCAGCTCTCAGCGTCCTGAGTAGCTAGGATTACAGGCTTTAGCACACAGCTGGATAGTTTTTGGTTTTGTTTTTTGTTTTTTTATTAATATCAACAATGGTCAGGCAGAGAAAGAAATAAGAAAGAAAATCCCATTCACTATAGACTTGAAAAATAAAATAAGCAGGGTGTTGTTCAATGTGATATCTATAAAATCTCTATGGCATTAGCAGAAATATGAAAAATCAACCTTCAAATTCATATGGAAACATAAAATATCTTTAGAGCAAACAAAACAGGAGGTGTCACAATACCAAGTTTTAAAGTGCATTACAGAGCCACAATAACAAAAAGCATGATACTAGCACAAAAGCAGACACAAAACCCAATGAAACAACCAAAACAAACAAAAAAACACCAGAAATACAACACTTAACTAGTCACCTAATTTTTCAAAAAGGAGCAAAAAACACACACTGGAGAAAACACAGCCATTTCAACAAATGGTGCTAAGAAAACAGACTAGCTACATATAGGAGACAGACTGAAGCTCTATTTTTCTCTCCCTGTTAAAAAACAAACAAAAAAACCAAAACTCCAAATAGATCAAAACTCTAAACGCAACATCTGAAACTGGAAGCTATAAATACAGGTTAATTATTTTGGGGGTAGAATTCCAATTGCCCAGAAAATAAAGGGTAAAAATAGATTAATGAGATTGCGTTTCTGTACATCAAAAGAAATAATGACCAAAACCAAAAGTAACCCCAATAGGAGAAAATCTTTGCTACCTATTCAATGGATAAAGGTTTAATATCCAGAATATACAGAGCTCAAAAAAAACAACCCAGTAAATGAATAACCCAATAATAAATGGACAAATGAATTGGACACAGTTCTCAGAAAAAGAAACACAAAAGACTGATACATGAAGAATATAACAACTGAGTCAGAATGGTTATCAATAAGAAAACAAAAAATGCTGATGAGCATTAAAGGATGGGGGAGTGAGGGTAGAAATTCCTTATACACTGTTGATGGGCCGTCCAATCACTACGAGAATCACTATGGAGGTTCCTCAAGAAGCCCACCATACCATTCTTGGGCATGTATCTGAAAGAAAGTACAGTAATCTACCTGCATACCCGTGTTTACTGGAGCTCTGTTCACAACAGCCAAACTATGCAATCAACAGAAGTGCTCTTTAACCAAGGAATGAATAAAACAAGACACCAAGACTCATATACAGTCATAAAGAAAAGTGAAGTTTTTTAAGAAGCCTTTCTTAGGATCTATGCCTTTAATTTTATGGAAATCATAATACCTTCTTCCTCTTGAAAAATAAGTTCCAAAATACAATTTACTTAGTCTTCCATCACTAATGTTTGTTTTTCATTATGGGAAGTTTACAAGACAAAAAATATTAAAGAGATGATTTTTAATGTGTTACTTAACTTTGCTGTTATATATGACACATTTTCTGTATATCAAACTAATTTTTACAAATTTTTATCCTATGCCTCAACCCATGTAATCATTTTGCCTATTTAAGACTTAATTATGGCTCTTTTATTAATAATAAGCTAATGAAAAGGGTCCTTTATTATAGAACTACATTTAATTTACTTATAGATTATAAAGTACAATACCAGAGTATTAAATTATATTTTATTGATAAACTTATTCTTTAAAAGGAATGTCATTATCATTTTAATGCGAATCATGCTGATAACATGTTATATTTTAGTGTTTCAAGAGATTCACTTTATTGCCTTTGTGCCCACATATACCTTGCAGTCTATATGCAATTGCTTTTTTATGACATTAAAAGAATAACTGAAGCAGACAAATATTAGCGGGTGTGACTGTATTTATGAGTGTTAGGTCAACTATTTTGCTACCTGTAAAGCTATAGCATCAAAGTGTATTTGTAAGCTGGCTGGAACTAAAAATTATGAATAAATTCATTTTCTTAAAAAATTGTATTATAGCTGGGGGCCGGTGGCTCATGCCTGTAACCCTAGCTACTAAGGAGGCTGAGATCTAAGGATCGTGGTTCAAAGTCAGCCCAGGCAGGAAAGTCCATGAAACTTTTTTTTTGGGGGGTCTGGTCCTGGGGCCTGAACTCTGAACCTGGGCGCTGTCCCTCAGCTCTTCAGCTCAGGCTAGCACTCTACCACTTGAACCACTTCCGGCTTTTTTTCTTTTTGCTTATGTGGTGCTGAGGAATCGAACCCAGGGCCTCATGCATGCAAGGCAAGCGCTCTACCACTGAGCCACCTTCCCAGCCCAGAAACTCTTATCTCCAATAAACCACCAAAAACCAGAAGTGGCACTGTAGCTCAAGTGGTAGAGCTCTATCCTTGAGCTGATAGAGCTGAGGGATAGTGTTCAGGCCCAGAGTTCAAGCCCCACCACCACCAACAACAACAAAAAAGAATTATATCATTTGTAGAAATGTGTATGGAACTAGACATCTTCATGTTGAGTGAGGTAAGTTCAAAAAGCCAAATATCACCAGGTGCTAGTGGCTCATGCCTATAAGCTTGGCTATATAGAGGCTGTAATCTGGAGATCTTGATTTGAAGCCAGCTTGGGGAATAAAGTCTAAGAGACTTCATCTCCAATTAATTAATAAAATGCCAGAATGGATGCATGGTTCAGTTGGTAGAATGCCAGCTGTTAAGTAAGAACACTGAGTGAGGTATGAGATCCTGAATTTCAGCTACAGTACAGGCAAGTACCACTTTTTCACTCATTTTTGAAATCCAGACTTAAATAACATATATACTCACACAATGCATGTGCATACACACATATATACATATATGAATATATATACACATAACATGGATGAAACTGTGGGATTCTTTAGGGGGAGAGAAAGAAGAGGGAGAAGGAAAGAGGATGGAGGACAAATAAGTATCAAAATACACTGCATCTGTGTGTAAAGATGGCATAAGGAAACTCACTAACAGCTGTTAATAGTATAATGAGGTATAAAACTGAAAACAAAGCCGGGCACTAGTGGTTCATGTCTGTAATCCTAGCTACCCAGGAGGCTGAGATCTGAGGATTGTGGTTCAAAGCCAGCCCGGGCAGGTAAGGCTGTGAAACTCTTATCTCCAATAAACCACCAGAAAAGTGGAGGAGCTGAGGGACAGTACTCAGGCCCAAAGTTCAAGCCCCTTGACCAAAAAAACAACAACAACAACAAAAAACCCTGAAAGCAATAAGTGAAGTTAAGGTACTAAATTATAATATATGCACACGTAAATGTAAATTTTAAAAAGCTTTTAAAGGAATTACCCCCATTCCAAACAAAAAGTTAGAGAAAAAAAAGGATAGCCTGTCCATTCCACCCTAATTACATGGCTACTTTAATCAGAAAACATCTTAGATTTCCTTGGTTCCTAACAAACTGATCTAGTCATTATTGCTGATAAAATATTCTTTATATTCTTACTGCATTTTAAGTATGTGCATTAACTTGTATGTCACTAGAAATAAGTAGCATTCACATAAGCAAATGAAGTCCTGGGTTCAATTCCTTAGTACCACATATACAGAAAAAGCCAGAAGGGGCACAATGGCTCAAGTGGTAGAGTGCTAGCCTTGAGCAAAAGAAGCTCAGGGACAGTGCTCAGGCCGAGTTCAAGCCCCAGGACTAGCGAAAGAAAGAACGAAAGAAAGAAAGAACGAAGGAAGGAAGGAAGGAAGGAAGGAAGGAAGGAAGGAAGGAATTCAAGCACCTCATTGAGAAAGTAGTTTCACTGTAGTGAAAGGAGAAGCAAAACCAAAAGGGATCAAATGGTAATACGAGGAAATACAAGCAATAAACACATTACTACCAAAAATTAAAAGAGGAAAGGGAAAGACAGTAAGTTTACAAGATTTAATTTGATATAACTGGCTAACCTGATCATCAAAATACTCTATTAAATGTTTGTATTTTAACATGGAAATGAATGGAATATTCTTAAATAAAAGGAATTGTTGCTGGTATTGGTGGTCATACCTGTACTAGCTACGCAGGAGGCTGACATTTGAGTATCATAGTTTGAAGCTAGTTGGAACAAAGAAGTCCATGAGTTTTATCTCCAATTAACCAGTACTGGCACCAACAAAAAAAGCTATCATTACAAAATAACTTCACTTGTATAAAACAGCATAAAAATATGCTTAGAAAATGAGTGATAAGGGCTGGGAATGTGGCTTAGTAGTAGTGCTTGCCTTGCATGCATGAAGCCCTTGGTTCAATTCCTCAGTACCACGCAAGCAGAAAATCCCAGAAGTGGCACTGTGGCTCAAATGGTCGAGTGCTAGCAATAGAAGCTCAGGGACAGTGTTCAGGCCCTGAGTTCAAGCCCCAGGAGAGGAGGAAGAGAAGGAGGGGGAGGGGAGAAAGAAGAGGAGGAAGAGGAAGAAAATAAGTAGTAAATGGTCACGTCAGCAGCACATATACTAAAAATTGGAATGATACAGAGAAGAATAGCATGGCCTCTGCGCAAGGATGATACACATTTGTGAAGCATTCTATATTTTTCCAGCCACCAGAAAAGAAAAAAGAAAAGAAAATGAGTGATAAGCCTGGTGCTGGTGGATCACTCCTGTAATTCTACCTATTCAGGAGGCTACGATCTGAGGATTGCAATTTGAAGCCAGGACAGATAGGAAAGTCAGACAGACTCTTCTCTATAATTAACCAGCTCATGGTAGAGCACTAGCCTTGAGCCGAGGAGTTGAGGGACAGAGCTCAAGCCGAGTTCAAGCCCCACCACTGACAAAAAAAAAAAAAAAAATTTATAGAATGTTTATTTTTTTAAACACCCAGAAAACAGCTAGGAATAAACATACTAAGCAGTTAAGACTTACCTCATCACAGTCTCCTTCAACCATAGCATATATAGCTTTCTTAACCAAGTTAGTACCTAGAATATAGATCAGAGTATTAATGAAGGAAAAATATAACTAAGTTACTTAAAGAACCTAAATTATGATATTCATTAAGCACATAAGTATCAAATGTAAGGTTCTATCTTAAATGCAAATATACTGAACATGCATGTTAAATTGAGGGAAAAAAATTGATACAAGATCAAAAAAGTCAAGAGAACCTACACACAATAAGATTCTTCTTAAAAGACCTCTCTCGACAGAATTATTTGTCCATGTAAGAATTTTATTCTGCCAGAAAGTACAAGAAATGAAAAAAGAAAAAAGCAAGTTATGCTATAGACAAAGAAACCTAGGAATTCCTTGAGCTGGCCCGAAATTTATTGCATGACCTGAGCTGATCTTGCCAAAGACTTTCTAAACCATTGACACAGGCACAGGACAGCCTCACAACAACTCACTGTGCAAAAGAATGGGCCAAGACAGTCAATTCTTGCAAACTCTATAGTAAGCATGGATACAACAAAGTCTAGCACTCTCATGGTGTCATCTAGCAAAAGTTAACATATGTCAGATACATGTGAGAAAGCAAAAGGAAAAAATTGCAAAATCTGAGTTCATTAAGCCAAAATATTTTAAAATCTCTTATTTTTCAAACTACACATAAAAATATGCATGCATTTCACACAAAATGTCTAAGTCATTGTTTTTTGCTTTTGGCATTCATCAAACAAATGCCTATCATTTTTCATGAGTCCTCAGTACTTTCCAATGCATCAGATTCAAACTTGCAGTATAAACCAAGCCGAATTCAATAAAAATGTCAGTTGAAAGCTATAGAACTATTTCAAAAAGGCAATTAAGCCTTACATATAGGCCTTCTTACACAGTAGTACATGACTGCAGTCTCAACATTTGGGAAGCCTTGGCAGGGGATCACTTGAACCCTGAAGTTCAAGGCCAGCAGCCCCGGCAACTACATGTCTCAAAAAAAAAAAAAAAAGCTTAAGACATTAAGAAAATAATTCATTTTTGAGATCATGTCTCAAAATTACAGCTCAATGTCATAGCTCTGCACTAATATGATTAATATATTTTAACAGTGTCAGCTTTTCAAAGGGTTAGATACTTAAAAGCAGGAAGACTCAAAACGTTTTGCAAATATTATTTTGAAATAAAAATCTTCCCTTACCTTCAAGTGCATTTCTACATTTTTACAGTTAAGTCTTTTTCAAAACACAAAACTGAAAATAACTTATTCATCTTTTTAGTGAAATATTTTCCTTACCAATGCCATTTCTCCTGTATTTGGAATCCACGGCTAACATGGCTATATAACCTCTGCGGAACATCTTTTTGTGCATATCCAACTTGCAAACGATGGCACCTACACACTCCTCCCCTACCATGGCCTTAAAAATAAACAAACAGTTATGAAGAATACAATTGCCATCAGGTACTGCACTATTACCAAGGGAAAACAGCAACCAGCCCTTGGCTAGTGTTTTTGAGAGAGGAAGAGATAATGGGAATTCTAATGACAACAATGACTATTTTAAATATCTAAATTTCAAAACTCCTTCAAGTGTTCTAGTTTAAAGAATTTCTCAATATTCTTAACTGGTGAATTTTTGTGCTTCTTAAAGCTTAAAGACAAAATTTCCCTAAGGTAAACACTCAAGTACTCTATAAGAATTACACAAGCCAGAGTGCTAGCCTTGAGCTGAAGAGCTGAGGGACAGCGCCCAGACCTAACGGTCAGGCCCCACGACCGGACCCCCCCCCCCAAAAAAAAGAATTACACAAGCCATGGTTCATGCATATAATACTAGCTACTCAGGAGGCTGAGACCTGAGGATCACAATTCAAAGCCAATTGGGCAATAAGGTCCATGAGACTCTCCAATTAACCACCAGAAAACTGCAAGTGGAGCTGTGGCTCAAAGTGGTAGAGCACAAGCCTTGAGCAAAACCCATTACAAACCAATTTTTTATTAATTAAAAAAATATATATATACACAAGGAATACTTATTTTCGATAAGGACTAATTTTAAGTTTTGGAGAGAAAAATAAATTAAAAGCTACTGACTAGCAAATATACTGCACTATTTTCCCATCAGTTACAGTATTATGTTTTTATAATAAAGCTTTAATGAAATATAAGCATAAAAATACACCTAAAGCTGGGCACCAGTGGCTCACGCCTATAATCCTAGCTACTCAGGAAGTGAGATCTGAGGATCACAGTTCAAAGTCACAGGCTGGGCAGGAAAGTCTGTGAGACTCTTATCTCCAATTAGCCACCAGAAAACTGGAAGTGGTGCTGTAGCTCAAGTGGTAGAGCGCTAGCCTTGAGCTGAGGGACAGTGCCCAGGCCCAGAGTTCAGGCCCCACGACTGACCAAAAAAAAAAAAAACAAACTATACCTGGTAGTTAACTTTTGATCAGAAAACAAAGTAGATACTCTTTTTTCAGGAAAGGGATTGTTTAGAAGGTACTAAATAGTTTAGAAGATGTTAATGTATGATGGTCTCATTTTTAGAACACTCCTGATAATGTGTGTAATTACCATTAAGTGCTAAGAATATCAATAGCTCACATCACATTCAGGAGGCTGAGGGAGATTTTGAATTTAAAACCATTCTGGTCAAACCAGGGAGACTCTGTTTCAAAAAAATAAAGAATATCTACAGCTCATATTGCATTAATATAATGACTTACAAATCTTTCTATTCTCAGAAAATATTAACGTTCCACACTGTTAAATGCTACATTAAATTAAATGCTAACATTCTATTTTAATTAAGATTTCTGGCATTACCATTGCAAATGTTTCTCAAAAACTCCTAGAACTGATAAAAAATTCTGCCTCTGATAAATATAAATACAGCAACACTTCCACTTTATCTTTATTAATGTAAGTTATAGAAATTAACTTTCATAAATCAACTATCTCAACATCAAAAGCCAAGAATGGGTTTAAAAATTAATACTTAATTGAACTTATCTCTAATACACATTTTTAACTTTAATTTATTGAAATATTTCTCAGTCTGTTATCCTGAGACAAAAAGCCCTTTTTTAACAAACGAGACAAATCATTTTGGGCAAGATAATGTTAATCTATTTCACATAAACCTGAACTAGATCAAAAAAATCATTTTGAATTGTTACTTTCAACCCATACTAGTTCAGTTCTGTTTTGTCACACATTCCAAAATTATCCAGGGTCAATAAGCCTTTGGAATCGTTTGGTGCTGAACCTAAGGCCCCTAACATGTACTTTAATATTGAACTACACTCTCATCCTGAGTTTTTCTTCTGTATTATTTTTTAGATATCTGTAGGGGGCTCAATTTGGGGGCCTTGCACTCTTGTTTGGCTTGCTTGCTTGCGTAGCTGGTGCTCTACCACTCAGCCCACTGCCTAAACCCACACCTAAACCTACTTTTGCTAGTTATTAAAAATAGAATCTCTTGGACTTTTTACTTGGCCTCACACTTCAATCCTCCAGCTCTCATCCTAGTGAGTATCCAGGATTACAAGATAACTAGCATTTGGTTCCTAAGGTTTATTTTTTTTGTTGCTGGGAAATGAACCTATGGTCTCAAACATACAAGACCAGTGCACTCTACCACTGAACTGTACATACCATCTACCAAGAATAGCATTTTCTGATTTGAAAATAACTCACTCAAATATATATACATGTGTTTACATACCCTCTACATAAAATCACTTATCAAATGCTACATTTAAAACTGTCAAAAAAACATTTTGGGAGGAACACAAAGGCATAATGTCTATGTGCCTTTGACCATATAACATTTATCAAGATGAACTCCAAGAAATGGAAATAAAAGGCTTCCTCTTTGTTGTTTTTGTTTCCTTTTTGTCTTGTTTGTTCATTTATCTGTCTCTGGAAGTTACGGTAAGGGGGGGCACAATAATGGAGAGACAAAAATGGGTGAACAAATGCAGCAGTGGTACTCACTAGACACTACGTTGAAAATGAACTATATAATTCGTGGGTAGGGATGGGAGGTAAAAATGGGGAGAGAGCCAGGGAAGGGGTGATATTATCCAAAAAGAAGTGTACTCAAGGCCAGGCACTGGTGGCTCATGCCTGTAATCCTAGCTCCCCAGGAGGCTAAAAATCTAAGGATCATAGTTCAAAGCCAGCAAAGCAGGAAGGTTTGGGACTCTCATCTCCAATTAACTACCAGAAAACCGAAAGTTGCACTATGGCTCAAAGTGATAGAGTGCTAGCCTTGAGCAAAAGAGCATAGGAAGAGTGCCCAGGCCCAGAGTTCAAAGCCCCATGACCAACACACACACAAAAAGAAATGTAGTCATTACCTGACTTATATAATTGTAACCTCTTCATACATCACTTTTACAGCAGTTTTAAAATGTCCAAAATTTTTTTGACCTAATCTCATAAACTAGACTCATGTGAAAGGGAAATCTACATAAATCTGTAATAGAAAACTATAGGCCAGATACATCTTACAGTTAATCAGCCATCTTTATAAAAGATAAAATTCCAGAACACTACTAAACATAATACAACTAGCCAATACTCTTAAAATAGGAATTTCAAAGCAATCTTCCTTTACTTAGCAGAAACGAAGTTAATAAAAACCAGTA